TTACTTAAATGATTTTAGCAAATGGCTGCAATATAACAAAGAGTGAAAAATTTAAGGGGGTCTGAATACTTTCCGTACCCACTGTATGTACACAAGATAACAAGGGACAGGTGAGGGGTTTGGTTGGCATGGTAACTAATAAGGGTAGCTATGGTAACAAACAAGATAGTAAGGCAAATAGGGACACTGAACACAGGAAGAGGGCACATAAACAAAAATAGTAAATATTTCAAAATAAGAGTACAGAACACAAGACAGGGGAACATAGAGTGGTGTGAAAAAGTGTTGGCCCCCTTCCTGATTTCTTATTTTTTTTGCATGTTTGTCACACTTTAATGTTTCAGATCATCAAACAAATTTAAATATTAGTCAAAGATAACACAAGTAAACACAACATGCAGTTTTTAATTTAAGGTTTTTATTATTAAGGGAAAACAAAATCCAAAACTGCATGGCCCTGTGTGAAAAAGTGTTTGCCCCCTAAACCTAATAACTGGTTGGGCCACCCTTAGCAGCAACAACTGCAATCAAGCGTTTGCGATAACTTGCAATGAGTCTGTTACAGCGCTGTGGAGGAATTTTGGTCCACTCATCTATGCAGAATTGTTGTAATTCAGCCACATTGGAGGGTTTTCGAGCATGAACCGCCTTTTTAAGGTCATGCCACAGCATTTCAATAGGATTCAGGTCAGGACTTTGACTAGGCCACTCCAAAGTCTTCATTTTGTTTTTCTTCAGCCATTCAGAGGTGGACTTGCTGGTGTGTTTTGGATCATTGTCCTGCTGCAGAACCCAAGTTCGTTTCAGCTTGAGGTCACGAACAGATGGCCGGACATTCTCCTTCAGGATTTTTTGGTAAACAGCAGAATTCATGGTTCCATTTATCACAGCAAGTCTTCCAGGTCCTGAAGCAGCAAAACAGCCCCAGACCATCACACTACCACCTCCATATTTTACTGTTGGTATGATGTTCTTTTTCTGAAATGCAGTGTTACTTTTACGCCAGACGTAATGGGACACACACCTTCCAGAAAGTTCAACTTTTGTCTCGTCAGTCCACAGAGTATTTTCCCAAAAGTCTTGGGGAATCATCAAGATGTTCTCTGGCAAAACTGAGACTAGCCTTTATGGTCTTTTTGCTCAGCAGCGGTTTTCGTCTTGGAACTCTGCCATGCAGACCATTTTTGCCTAGTCTCTTTCTTATGGTGGAGTCATGAACACTGACCTTAACTGAGGCAAGTGAGGCCTGCAGTTCTTTGGATGTTGTTGTGGGGTCTTTTGTGACCTCTTGGATGAGTCGTCGCTGTGCTCTTGGGGTAATTTTGGTCGGCCGGCCACTCCTGGGAAGGTTCTCCACTGTTCCATGTTTTTGCCATTTGTGAATAATGGCTCTCACTGTGGTTCGCTGGAGTGCCAAAGCTTTAGAAATGGCTTTATAACCTTTTCCAGACTGATAGATCTCAATTACTTTCTTTCTCATTTGTTTCTGAATTTCTTTGGATCTCGGCATGATGTCTAGCTTTTGAGGATCTTTTGGTCTACTTCACTTTGTCAGGCAGGTCCTATTTAAGAGATTTCTTGATTGCGAACAGGTGTGGCAGTAATCAGGCCTGGGTGTGGCTAGAGAAATTGAACTCAGGTGAGATAAACAACAGTTTTAACAGGGGGGCAAACACTTCTTCACACAGGGCCATGTAGTTTTGGATTTTGTTTTCCCTTAATAATAAAAATCTTCATTTAAAAACGGCATGTTGTGTTTACTTGTGTTATATTTGACTAATATTTACATTTGCTTGATGATCTGAAACATTAAACTGTGACAAACATGCAAAAAAATAAGAAATCAGGAAGGGGGCCAACACTTTTTCACACCACTGTAGTTTTAGTTTACTACAATAATCCTACGAGCGTTCCTACAATGTCCTACAAATCCTACGATTTCCACTCTCTTTAGATATAATTTCTGTCTTTCTATGTGATGTCTTTACCTGCCGGTCTTGAGGCTGCCCAGGCTGAAGTGAATGCAGTTGAGGCAGTGATCGGCGTCTGCTCCGTCGCAGCCCTGATCTCCACATTCAGGATGACACGGACCTGAAATACAGATGTAGTAGATAATATTACATTCGGTCATTTAACAGATGCTTTTATTCAAAGCGACTTACGAATGAGGAACAAGAAGCAAGTCCCCAGAGAGTATTCAACAATATTCATAGTATGCAATGCCAGGTTTATTAGAACAATAAATCTCATATAGAGGATATTTTTAGAATAGGAATCTTTCATTTTATCACAAAAGACAAAAGCACATTAAAGCAGAGAAATTATTTCCACGTTTTTGCGGAAAAATAACATATCTTGTGTATGTTTATGTTTCAGTCGTTTACATGGTTGCCAGTTTAAAGATATTATTAATCTCACACTATCAACAAGCAACAAGTACCATCATATTTATACAAACCTGATTCCAAAAAAGTTGGGACACTGTACAAATTGTGAATAAAAACAGAATGCAATGATGTGGAAGTTTCAAATTTCAAAATTTTATTCAGAATACAACATAGATGACATATCAAATGTTTAAACTGAGAAAATTTATCATTTTAAGGGAAAAATAAGTTGATTTAAAATTTCATGGCATCAACACATCTCAAAAAAGTTGGGACAAGGCCATGTTTACCACTGTGTGGCATCCCCTCTTTTTATAACAGTCTGCAAACGTCTGGGGACTGAGGAGACAAGTTGCTCAAGTTTAGGAATAGGAATGTTGTCCCATTCTTGTCTAATACAGGCTTCTAGTTGCTCAACTGTCTTAGGTCTTCTTTGTCGCATCTTCCTCTTTATGATGCGCCAAATGTTTTCTATGGGTGAAAGATCTGGACTGCAGGCTGGCCATTTCAGTACCCGGATCCTTCTTCTACGCAGCCATGATGTTGTAATTGATGCAGTATGTGGTCTGGCATTGTCATGTTGGAAAATGCAAGGTCTTCCCTGAAAGAGACGACGTCTGGATGGGAGCATATGTTGTTCTAGAACTTGGATATACCTTTCAGCATTGATGGTGCCTTTCCAGATGTGTAAGCTGCCCATGCCACACGCACTCATGCAACTCCATACCATCAGAGATGCAGGCTTCTGAACTGAGCGCTGATAACAACTTGGGTTGTCCTTGTCCTCTTTAGTCCGGATGACATGGCGTCCCAGTTTTCCAAAAAGAACTTCAAATTTTGATTCGTTTGACCACAGAACAGTTTTCCACTTTGCCACAGTCCATTTTAAATGAGCCTTGGCCCAGAGAAAACGCCTGCGCTTCTGGATCATGTTTAGATATGGCTTCTTTTTTGACCTATAGAGTTTTAGCTGGCAACGGCGAATGGCACGGTGGATTGTGTTCACCGACAATGTTTTCTTGAAGTATTCCTGAGCCCATGTTGTGATTTTCATTACAGTAGCATTCCTGTATGTGATGCAGTGCCGTCTAAGGGCCCGAAGATCACGGGCATCCAGTATGGTTTTCCGGCCTTGACCCTTATGCACAGAGATTGTTCCAGATTCTCTGAATCTTTGGATGGTATTATGCACTGTAGATGATGATAACTTTAAACTCTTTGCAATTTTTCTCTGAGTAACTCCTTTCTGATATTGCTCCACTATTTTTTGCGCAGCATTGGGGGAATTGGTGATCTTCTGCCCATCTTGACTTCTGAGAGACACTGCCACTCTGAGAGGCTCTTTTTATACCCAATCAAGTTGCCAATTGACCTAATAAGTTGCAAATTGGTCCTCCAGCTGTTTCTTATATGTACATTTAACTTTTCCGGCCTCTTATTGCTACCTGTCCCAACTTTTTTGGAATGTGTAGCTCTCATGAAATCCAAAACGAGCCAATATTTGGCATGGCATTTCAAAATGTCTCACTTTCAACATTTGATATGTTATCTATATTCTATTGTGAATAAAATATAAGTTTATGAGATTTGTAAATTATTCCATTCCTTTTTTACTCACAATTTGTACAGTGTCCCAACTTTTTTGGAATTGGGTTTGTATATGATGCATAATAATATCATCATACTATTTATTAAATATAAGTAATGTTTTTGAATATTTTTTGAAGCAATCAATTTTGCTCCAGTATTAATGCAGTAGCAAATATGTTTTTTAAAGCTATTATTTTTTATTTTTTATAGTTATATATTTAAAAATGTCTAAAGCTTATATTTTGTTTATTATTATTTTTAACATGAATTTTCTTTTTAGAACAATAATAAACAAAATGTTCAGGATACATCACCTGCCCCTTGTGCATGTTTTTCCTTATTTAACTGCATTTTAAAAGAGTTTAAAATGAATTTTTATATATACACTACCATTCGAAAGTTTGGGGTTTTGATTTTGTTTTTAATAAAATAAGCATTTGTATTTTTAGATGGATGCATTAAATTGATCAAAAGTAACAGTAAAGATAATTGCATAGTTACAAAAGATTTCTATTTCATATATATTCAAATAGTAAACAGTTGTACAATTGTAGTAATATTTCACAGTTTTTACTGCATTTTTGATCAAATAAATGCAGGCTTAGTGAGCATAAGATTAAAAAACAAACAATTCTGAACTTGTCTAGGCATTACTGCTAGTACCGTTATATTCCTCCTCTTCCTCCTCTTCATGCTCAGGGGCTCCTGGCACAGAATCTGGGTTTTTCAGCTCCCTGCCTGCTGTGGGAATCTCCAGCATCCTGGAGCGCGAGTGCTGGGAACCCTGGGATTGGTAGGGGTGCTCAGCCGTGCCGTGAAGGATTAGTGTCCACTCCTTCAGCTTACCTGACAGAGAAGAGAGAGCAGGAGAGCAAGCCATGAGGAGGGACAAAGAAAGTTCTGTTATGCATTGCAATGAATCACATCGATCCCGACGAGACAAAGGACAGGACAACTTTAATGTGCAGCGGGGCTCAAAGAAGGTTCGCATTAAACAAAAATGTAATTCATTCAAGAAAGCAACACACCTGATGGAAGTACATGAACACAAATAATTCTGAATATCCATCTAGGTCTGCTTATGAGAATTCACTTTAATTAGGATGCGGACTTAGAAATCAGCTGCCTGCGTAGAAAGCAAGCTATATTACTAGGCTTTAAGAACACAGCCAATGTAATAGGTGAAATGTTTTATTGGTTCCTTTTATGCCAAACATAATGCTAAAAGTAAAGCTACAATTACAACGTGTAGTCCTGAGAGCCAATGCGATTTCCAAAATAAAATTAATTAATTAAATTAAAAATACTTGAAAATTCTAAAAATGAAACAAAACAAAATAGAATTCTATTAAAAACAATAGAAATGTCGGCGCCGAACCCATCCCCCTCTTTCTTTCCCACTTCGTTTCCTGTCATATCTGATCTGTCCTATCACAATAAAGGCAAAAATGCCACAAATAAATCTTAAAAAAAAACAAAAACAAATACAAAATAAAATCAAATGAAATATATAAAAAATTAGATATAAAATTTAAATATTTTTGAATAAAAAATAGTAAATATTAAAATAAAATAAAAATATATAAAAATACTATATAGATAAAAAAGAGCAAAACAAATAAAAATAATACAATATAAAAAAATGATATATTATAAAATAAAATAGAATTCATTTTAATTTATTCATTCAAGATAATTATAAAAAAAATTAATAGAAAATAATAATGAAATAAATAAATAATCAAATAAAAATATAAAAAAGAATAATAATAATCAAATAAAAAGTACTTTTTTTTAACAAGTTGGGAAGGGTGAAAGTATTTCACATGCGGCACAATCGTACGAACAACATAAAACAGTGGGAAAACAAACCGAAGGGACAGTCAAATTCAGCTTCATATTTGAGCAAAAAAGCAGGTGTGTAAACAATACTAGAATTAGGCTCCAAATTTGGGAATAGAGTTAGATGTTTTAGGATTATACTGTGTTTAGACTAGACATGACTGGCATCACAGCACACTGACTTAATGTTGTCTGAACCTCATCCCTCCGTTCCTTACCCAACACCTCAGGGTTACGCAGCTGAGATGGCGAGTCTGAAATCTCCAGTGTCCACATTCCCTCCGCTCTCTCCCCCCAGCAATGAACCGTCATGAACTCCCAGTTCCTGAAGCCCTCATTGGAGTTATCAAACAATCTGGAAGACAGAAGAAACAGAGGTCAACGCTTCAGAGAGTATAATGAAAATAAGGAGATAAGACAACACAAAGTCATCTGATACACTGCATCACTAGTAACTGCTCATTATTCACAGTGAAGATCCCTCAAAAAGATCTGAACCTCCTCAATAATGGATGAAATAAGATAAAATGCAAACAAAAGAGTGAAACTTTATATTCAAATAAGAAAAAAAAGAGAAAAACGCAAATAAACAACAGAACCATATATACATAATTCATATTTACATATTTGTGACCCTGGAGCACAAAACCAGTCTTAAGTCGCTGGGGTATATTTGTAGCAACAGTCAAAAATACATTGTATGGGTCAGAATTATCGATTTTTCTTTTATGCCAAAAATCATTAGGATATTAAGTAAAGATCATGTTTCATGAAGATATTTTGTAAATTTCCTACTGTTCAGTTTTGATTAGTAATATGCATTGCTAAGAACTTCATTTGGACAACTTTAAAGGTGGTTTTCTCAATATTTTGATTTTTTTAGATTCCAGATTTTCAAATAGTTGTATCTTAGCCAAATATTGCCCTATCCTAACAAACCATACATCAATTGAAAGCTTATTTATTCAGCTTTCAGATGATGTATAAATCTCAATTTCGAAAAATTTACACTTATGACTGGTTTTGTGGTCCAGGGTCACATATTTGATTTGTAGAGCATTAACAATACAGATTTTCCTAAAAAAAAAAAAACACTTTTAAAACATTTTTACAGGCAGTTCTCACTTAAACCTTCACAACCAACTGCACCAAATTATTGTGTATAAAACAACAAAAGAGCAATAACAAAATAAATGCAAAACGGTTTCCATCTGCGATTATTTCTGTAACCTTAATTCCAGTAACCATCATTGCATCACCTACAACAGTAACTGAAAAATGACTAAAAGCTTTTTTTAGGTTAACGTCGTTGGTGTACGGGACACAGCCCCTTCGTGAAAAACTCGTAACTTTCTTTGCGTGCACATTTGGGCGGCATTATGCAAATATTTCCACATAGTGAGGTAGATATGTGGGGGCGTGTTAGAACGAGCCGTTTTAGGGGGGCGTGGCAGAGTCTTAACTTTGATAAAGAATATCTCTTTGGTTTTGAGACTTTAGTCTTTGCAACTTCAGGGATCTTATCTATGCACAATCAGCTTGTAACACTCCAAAGAGAAAGGAAATCATGAAATCACATCATATGACCCCTTTAATGTTCTAAAACAACAACCATGGAAAATCTATTTTCTCTCACATTTCACTTGTCATAAACACTGTACTTCTAACACAATGGCCCCGTAATCATAGTGGATATTTTAACACTTAACTTGGCTTTTGCATTAAGACATTGATATTAAAAGATCAAACTGAATATGAAGTTTTACGTTAAGCGTTTACCTCCCACTGTAAAAAGTGGTAACGTGCAATTGTTATGTTAAAAAAATATTTCTACCTGTTCTTACCCTCCCTTTAATTTAGTTTTGCCTCCACGTTCACAGACAAAATATTTATTCCCACAGAGATTTCAGTCTGATTAAAAAGCAATATCAAAATCAATACATTATTTTGCACATAAGCATACATAAGCATTCGGTTCCGGTCATTTGTGATTCTTACTGCTACTTTTGAGCAGCATGAACTCACTCTAAGCATCAGGCATCAACAAAAGTGCAGCTCTCCCACTCTGCGCCCTCAGACCACTAGCGCTCGCTTTGAACTGAACACATACTGATAAAAACACTCCCCCCTCGATCACACTACTAATGAGAGCTTAGCAGAGCCGCCGTTTCTGAACTTGGCCCTCTCACGGCCCGTGTTAATAGGCTTGGATGGCATTTTGCGCATTACGTCTGCGCGCTTTCTTCTCCAGCCACCAAACGAGGCGTCTGCGCTGAACGGAGACGGTAAATCTGAACGGCGTTTGGCTCTGGCAGCGTGCATGTTGAATAAATGAGCTGAAGGGAGGTCCCGACCACAGCATCCCTCTCCATAATTCAAGGCAAATGTCTTTCCTGGCAATCTGCAGGCGTCATATGGATGACTCTCCAACGACTCTCAGCGCTGAAAGGCCGGGGTGAGAGAGCAGCGCGGGGCGACTGGTGGCTGATAATAAATACTCTCCGAATGCGGGAAGCCCCATTAGGCTGTCATGTCTGTTATCAGAAAAGCAGACGCGCTGTGGGAGATGTTTGTGCAGGGGCGCATTTTGACAGCTCTTCCGTCTCCATGCAGTAAATAAGACGTGGAACGTCAAAACAATAAGCTTTCTGTGGAGAAGTGAGAATGGAGGGACGTTCACGTAGACAAACGAGAGTGACGAACATTGTTACCGACAGAAAAGATGGCTGTGGCATTTTGGTTTTCCCAAACATTTTTGGCATTTAATGTTTGAAGAGACACATTTCCTTCAATAAAAGTTGTGACATCCTCCAAACTATGAACAAAACAATGCACGATTTTTATAACTCAATCGATTAATTAATTAAATCAAATACTGTGTATTCAAAGTATTCAGAACTATATTTCTTCAGATTTTATGTTGCAGCCTTATGCTAAAATACTTTATTTGATTTATTTGATTTTAGTGACATTTTCGCCATTTAAATGTCTGAAAAGCCACATTTCCCCCACCCCAATAAAATATGTGTAATATCCTAATAAACCAAGAAAAAAACTTTCATTTTTTTTATTTTACAGCCTTATGCAAAAAGGCATTAAATATTTGATTTTAGTGGCATTTTCGGCATTTCATGTCTGTAATGCCACATTTCCCAAAGAAGAGTTGTGTGACTACCAAAACCAAGAACAAAAATATGCAAGATTTAAATAAATAAATAACAAAATATCAATAAATATAAATAAATAAATTCACATAGTACTGAGACCTTATGCACTTTATTCACATTTTAGGATGTAACATTATGCTAAAATACTTAAAATGAATTTTTATATTTTATATATATTATATATTTATACAATTTATTATATATATTATATATTTGACTTTTTGCCATAAATGTCTGAGGAACCATACTTCCCCCAAAAGTTGGGGGAAATGCAAGATTTCTAAAATGATAATTTTGAGAGAAAAAAAATTTCCATTCAGAAAGTATTTAGACCATTATTCATTTCTTCATATTTTGTTATGCTGTAGTCTTATAAAATAATGTAAAGCCATACATACTGCATATATTTGGCATTTTTATAAAACTACATAAGATTTAGTAGTAATAAATAAATAAAATTCCTTTATTTAAAGATCCCTTTATTTTTGTCACATATTTTTAGGTTGTAGCCTCATACTACTATACTATAAATTATTTTAAATCTATTTAATTATATTGACACTATTGTTTACTTAAGTACGATACTCAGTTCTGGTAGTCTTACTCTGTAAGATCTGGGTGCTGAAGCAGAGGCAGCTGAGAGTGAGTGAGGTTTTATTCATGAGGGTTATGAGAATGATGCTCAGGATCTCTCAGCACTCATAACCATGCGGGAAAAAACGCTGAGAGAATACTAAACCACGCTGAAGCCGAGAGGAGAGAGATTTTGGAAAGAGCAGAGCGTCAAGACCAACAGAGAGGATATCAAACCGCTGCGTGATTGACAGCAAGAAGCTTCCAGTGTGACAGAAACCAGAGCAGCCAGATCAGACCCCGTCAGCTCCTGCGGACCCCTACAGAATACACTACGGTAAGAGCAGCACATTACCACGCTAGTGTGCATGTGTTTGTATGAGGAAAATACGAGTTATGGATACTGAAAATTATGAGAGGTTATGAGAGAAAGAGACACAAAACACAAACTTTTAATTTGTTTTGTAGCTCAGAAATGTTGAAGAATCTTCACACAGCTCTTTTCCATTCAACAACAGCTCAAGGTGACCACATCTGTCAAGCTCCAAAAAAAAGGGGGGTGAAAGCACCATAAAAGTCATTTAAACAGCCTGAGCATGATATTGAAGGACAATAGATAGATAGATAGATAGATAGATAGATAGATAGATAGATAGATAGATAGATAGATAGATAGATAGATAGATAGATAGAAAATAAATCCTATGTGTGCCATTATACTGGATCTGTGCATTGTCTCTTAAAGTGACAGCAGCCTAATTTACCAGCTGCCGTTGGTGTTACTAATGTAAATCAACAGAAAAAAGGACAGAGAAATTATCAATGATTAATCAACATTTATTTTTTATTTATTTAATTTATTTATTTATTTTGGTGAAGACTTTGCAGGGTTATTTTACATTTCATTATTCAATTTCTGTACCTGAACATTGTTTTATTTGTATCTTTGTTTTATTGTGTTTATAATGTGTTTATAATGTATTTGTACATTGCTTGGTTTATTTATTTTTGAACTTTACATTTGTTAGGCTAGTAGTTCTTGCTGTATCAAAATTGGAATCAAGAACTGTAAAATTTAACTGGACGCTAAAATTTTGGTTTTATATAAGCTTATTTATTAGAACACAAAATAACATCTATCTGTCTATCTATCTATCTCTATCTCTATCTATCTATCTATCTATCTATCTATCTATCTATCTCTATCTATCTATCTATCTATCCATGATCTATCTATCTATCTATCTATCTTGTTCTATTCCACTCTAATTACTCAATTTAATGTACATTATATTGTATTGTTTTTATATTGATATATAATATTATATTACATTTAAATAAAAACATTTAAATAATAATAACAAATAATTTCATATAAATAAATATATATATATATATATATATATTTTTTTTTTTACACAGTTGCTGTCACTGTAAGCTGCATACAGTATTTTTAATTTTTCCTTTAATGCATTTTGTTTGAAGAACAGGTTTAAGAAAATTGAGATTAACTTTATAGAAAACGGATACAAGTTTAAAGAAACATGCTGGTGGTCTGGTGGTTTGCGCACTTTCTCTATTGTAATGAGCTGCAGCGCTCATGCGGATGATGCAAGACCAAACTCTTTCATCATTTCCACTATCCAGCCAATAAAAAGCAGAAAGCACTAAAACTGTACAGCTCTTATGGAGAGTTGTTATGAGTTGAGCTCTGTCAGATGTGCTGGTGTGTTCTGCATCACCTCTGAGCCAGCAGCTGCGATCGCGTCCCTGAGGGGGATACAAGGCTGATCTCCAGGTCTCCTCTGCGCGGGTGGACGATGAGGATGCGCACCACCACATGCTCCAGAAAGACCACCTGCTGATCCGGCTGATCGCTGCAGCAGCTGCTCGAGATGCTGGCGTTCAGCTTCTGATCTGCTCGAATGTACCTGCAGGAGGATCCAAGGGGGTCAGTGGAGAACAGGTGTGAATGTGAAACACAGATCTGCGTTCATCGAACCAACATTAGGCTGTCATGAGCGATCATATGAAACACAGGTTTAAAAAACTGTTATGTGACAGTATATACTCAAAAGGTTCTTCAAGCGATGCCATAGAAGAACCATTTTTGGTTCCACAAAGAACCATCTCTTTCTTACTGTTTTATAATCTGAAGGAACTTCTTTCGCCACAAAGAGCCTTTTGTGATCAGAAAGGTTCTTCAGATGTTAAAGGTTCATTCTGGAACCATTTAGACAAAAAGGTTATTATATGGCATCGTGAAGCACCTTTATTTTTAAGAGTGTAGTTAATAAATAGTTACTGATTTTAAAAACATCGCAAAAAGCTTTCAGAAACTTGATGTCTTTTACATGAATGACAGATGGTAAAGTATTTTAAAAGGGAATCATGAAATAAAGTAAGTGAAGGGTCATATATACTGTCAAAAAGGTCAAATAACACCATAAACCAGGGTTATTATAGCTAAAATAAATAAACAAACAAAAATAAATGCCACTACACTTGAAATAAACTTGAAAAAGGAACTAAAGGAAACTTTAAATAAAAAAAACTTAAATACAAAACATCAGGGTTTTTATAGTTATAAATAAATAAATATATAAAACAAACTAAAAATTTAAATGAAATCAAAAATCTAAAAATGAAAACAAATTAAAAATATTATTTGTGACCCTGGAGCACAAAACCAGTCTTAAGTCGCTGGGGTATATTTGTAGCAATAGCCAAAAATAAATTGTATGGTTCAAAATTATCCATTTTTCTTTTATGCCAAAAATCATTAGGATATTAATTAAAGCTCATGTTCGATGAAGATATTTTGTAAATTTCCTACCGTAAATATATCAAAACTTAATTTTTGATTAGTAATATGCATTGCTAAGACCTTCATTTGGACAACTTTAAAGGTGATTTTTTTTGCACCCTCAGATTCCAGATTTTCAAATAGTTGTATCTCGATCAAATATTGCCCTATCCTAACAAACCATACATCAATGAAAGCTTATTTATTCAGATGTCAGATGATGTATAAATCTCAATTTCAAAAAATTGACCCTTATGACTGGTTTTGTTTTCCAGGGTCACATATAAACTATAATCTATAATCTCAATTATACTTTATTGATTGATTGATTGATTGTTATTTTATAAAATAACATAAACATAAAACTAACTCACGTGCTCTAAATATTCTGAAGTCAAATTATAGTTTTGTGTGAGAAACAAGCTGAAATATATGTTCATTAAACTCTATATGACCTCCATTATAGCTACTTGATACTTTTATGCTGTATTTTTGCATTTTTGCATTCTCTGCATGACACGTGTGACGTAAATGACGGCTCCTTTCTGTAACCGCTTGCCTAAAAGGAAAATCTCCCAGTTTATATCTGGAGTAAAGGGACTTGCACTATGAAACAACAGAGACAAAATGCCTCTTAACAAGATAAATGGCTGAACTTAAGGCGAGCAGTGTGTTCTGAGGACAAGTGGTCTTCTGGGAAAGTCCTGCCTCCTTTGAGTCACTGTCAAAGACCACATGACTTTATTTACATCACTTACTGTAGCGAACAATATCACTGCTACAGTGAAGGCATGTCAGAGCGATCATATCTGCAAGATGAGCAGACATAATCAACTCCACAATATCGTAATTAAATACATTTTAATCTGCTAAACCCAACTTCGCAAGTTGGAGATGTTAATTAAAGATTAATAATGAAGGCTAAATGCTTTTTTATTGTATATTGTTCATAAATAATAGCAATAAAACTAGATAAACGACACAAAATGATTGGTTTGGCGTAAAATGGTTTACAAAATGACAGGTTTGCATGACTAAATTACATTTCCTATCATCCGTAAATAAATAAATAAATAATATACTTGGATAGGAAAATGTATTTGGAGAGTTATAATATATAAATTCAGTTGATATATTACATATAAATTATTTATCATTTTAATTTACATATTACAATATATACATTTTTTTTTATATTTTATATTTATAAGTATATTTATATGTTTTTTTATAAATTTAACAAAATAAATAAATAAATAAATACTCTCTCTCTCTCACACACACACATATAGTATATTATTATATACAGTAGGCCTAAATATTATATAATTTTTATATTCAACAGTTGTAAGTATATCTATATTTATACACACACACACACACACACACACACACACACACATGCAAAATTATATACAATACATATTACATAATTTTTATATTTAATAGTTGTAAGCATATAATATATGTATTTTAAAAATATTTAATGAAAAACAATATAATATATAAATATTTACATAGATTTTAATACATTTTGTGTACTTTTCATTAAGAATAGCAACCAAATTGGAAAAACAGCACTCCTGGTTTATGAAGTGACAGGTTTGTATGACTAAACTACATTTCCCATAATCCTTTGTGCAGCTAGAGCATCAATCACACCCCTAACAGGGATCCTTAAGCTAAAAAAAAAGCAATAAAGAAGTATTAAATTGCCTGACCTGTTCATTTTATTCCAACCCAAATCATCGTAAGCATCAGAGTGTCTGTATTACACATAACCTTGGCCTTAATAGTGTGAAAAATAATAAACCAAGCACACACATTGTCATATTTACTCTTCCACAATGGCGTTTCGTGGCTCATTAAGCTGCGGGATCATCTATTCGGTCAATCCAGAAGCTTGTTTTGGATATTAAAGACTTTTTTCCTTGGGAGCGACACCGTTTCAATGGCTTTATAATGGCATCTGTGGCATTTTATGGCTGTGCTGATAAACAACAGTGCACAGATGGCAACAAAATTAGTCACTTGAGGTCTGAGCCATTATTTAGCACACGCTCAGAAGCAGCATGGCCCAGAAATACACTCGCTGGAGATTGTGCTACAGCCTCCTTTCAATCTTGTGACTGAAATTCAAAGGAAAACACGCTTAAAACAGAAGGCTGCACTTCTTCAATTTAACATGACAGCTTGCGGTCAAACTTTCAGCTGAAACCTGGGGAGAAACAGCATCCATAGACCACACATTTCCCTGGGTTTAAATGCAAAATAAAAGTAAAAATCAAATAAACTGGCTAATATTTATTTAATAATTTACAAAAATATTTAATAAAATTCTATTAATATTAAATTATTATAAAAAATAATTTAATATATAATTATTATATATTACAAATACTGATAAAGTAATAATTAATAAATTAGTTTTAAACAAATTTTTGCATTTTTTAAATATGTAATTATTATATATTAAAATAGCAAATTAACATTAATTAATTAAATTACAAATTAAAATTAAATTATATTAAATAACAAAACTACTAAAATATTTGTAACAAATCTTTGCATATTTCCTTTTTTTTTTTAAGTTTTCTCACATTTTGCACCTGCATTTTGTAATATATCTTGACATTTTAAGGTTTAAATGAAATCAAGTCACAGTGGACAGTGTTGTAATTGTTAACTAAAACTAAAACTACTCAAAACTTTCATTTAAATAAAGCTGGAATACATTTAAATATAAATATACATATTCAATAAAAACTTACATTTGAAAAATGTAAACGAAAATTAGAAGTGTTGCCTTGGCAACTAACAGAAATAAAATGACCTTAAGTACTAACGCCTACATAGAAATAATAAAAATAACAAATAAAAATAATATGTAAGAATAAAAATTATCCAAATGTATCAACAAATATGAATAAATAAAGATAAAATATGAAATCAACATAAAAAGTAAAATATAAACAAACTTACAAAATGACAAAAGCACTTTACAAAAACTAATCTGATATTTTAAACTCCTAAAATTATAATTAAATTGAAAACTGACAGTACAAAATTAAAAGCCAAATATATATGTAAATAAAAATATTAAATATTAATAAATACTATATGAAATAATAAACAACACTGGATATTTACAACATAAAACATACTTTACATACACATATATGTTTGTGTGTATGTATACACACACACACACACACACACACGTTTTATTTATTTAATTTTTTTGCCAAATAAGACTAGTTACAAGCTTCAGTCTTTATAGCCACTATCATCATCACACTTCATACGGTAATACTTGACACCATGATTCCTGTATATAAAGCACTGATCGGTTCGACAGAACAACTCAAAGTAGTGCAAATAATGCATCATCATCAAGCACAGGACAACGGTTTATGCATTCAGCCATTACATTTTTCACTTCATAGAGCCAAAGGAATGAGACTGTAAATCGATAGATGGCAGCCAAGCTAATGACACTGGAAGCGCAGGCTAACTCCCTCTCAATAGCCATCCGTGCGCGAGACGCTATAAATAAAACCCAATCTATGATTGATATCAGTGGTCAAGCGTATAGCCAGCACTACACACACACACACACACACACACAGACCGGAGGTGTTTTAATGGTTTAAAGAGAGCCAGCGCAGCAGGAGACTGGATTCTCATCAGCAAACAAAGCCATGAATCTGAATGCAGAAATCACTTCACCTCATCATTCCCTTCCATGACACTTACTATTCAATGCTATCAGGCTGTTTGAACATTTTTCTGATGAAAATCAAAGGACAGCAAGGAGCAACATCAGGAAAATGATACACAGTTTCAACATTTTATTGCAATTCACATTTTAAAGGTACTAACTGCAATAAAACTGCAATGAATTTAATTAATTGAATAGCTGGATTTGGGAAAGTGCTTGTAGGACAGGAGAATGTTTTACTTTACACCCAAACTAAAATTTTATTTTACTGTTAGCATGTATATAAAAATTAATAGAGATATTTTTTTTGCATTTACCCAAAATTTATTTTAACATCGGAAATGTGTTTTCTCGCACCTTAAAGTTTATTTTGAAATATATTTAGAAATTTCAAATTTTTAAAA